TACGGGGTCTTGAAGATATGAAATCTAGTGATCTGGATGACTGAGAGGAGACCTGAGACGATCAAAGCGGTTGAGACGAGATACTGAGCCTGCTCTTGGGTCAGGTTGGCGCCGCCAGGGCCAGCAAGGATAATCGGGGGAGTGATGAGGCCGGCAAGCATGGCCAGGGAGTGCTGCAGGCCGAGCAGCATGGCGAGTACGACGGGGATCTTGTCGTTGAGGCCGAAAAAAGGAGCTGCCTGTGCGCGTTTTCGCATGAAAGGGATGTTCGGGGTGAAGAGAAATGCGTAGTCGTAGTCGCCGATGAGGCCGTCCCTGGTGAAGAACATGTGCTTCAGAGCACGGGCGCGGTCGCCCATGGTCTTCTTGTTGCCATTTTCTGGGACGATCTGCGAAGGTCCCTGGTCCTCATCCATGTTGATGGTCAGTAAAGCTGGCGACTATGCTGTCTTTGTAAATAAGCAGTGACGAGAGAGGGTGACAAATGTTGGTGAGTGACCTGGTCAGCACTCAGACCCCAAGTTGTTGTCGTAGAAGTGAATACGACAAGACCGGAAAGGGGAGGACAAGAACAGGACAGAACAGAGCAGAACAGAGCAGAGCAGAACAGGCGATGTCAGGTCAAGGACGATGCCGGAGGACGGGAAAGGGCGATGTCGGTGCTCTTATAAAAATCACAGAAAAAAAGACCAGGCCTGGGTAGCCAGTCGAGTTGTTTGTGTCATTCAGCTTTGGCAGATAAGTGCTTATCTGCCTGGGCTAGGGGTCCTGGGGGTCGCAACCCATGGGAATCTGTGGGCGTGCAAGCCGGGGCGGAGGAGGTGTGGGCCGGTGTCATCCGAATGCCTGCAGGCTGTCGCCAGGTGCCGTAGCGGCATGTACGGTAGCAGTACTCTGGATGGCACTGCAGGGTGTTCAGAATGTTGATGGCCTGGCCTCGGCAGCAGATCTGAAGTGTGGTTTCTCTGTGTGAGTGTGTGTGTGCGTGTGTGTCTTCCCCACGTTTCTTAGCGTGGCAGGGGAGGGACGAGGATATGACGGAGGATGTTGCCGGACGGCAGCTTCCAACAGGATCACCAATTACCAATGCTGCCAATGATGGCCCACCAGCTGAGCTGAGCTTGGTGAAGGAGAGGGAGGACTTGACTCTACAGACTACAGTAAGAAAATCTGCAGACTGCAGACTGCAGACTGCAATCGATAGTCGAGACCCTCCCAAAAAGATGGCAAAAATGGGCAGCGGGTGGAGCAGTCTTGGCAGGACCGATCGAGCTAACAGGGAAGAAGGATCCTGGGATATCTCTCTTGGAGATAAGAAGAAGTAAAGACAGCCAGCCACACGAGAGAAGGAGAGAGAGAAAGAATCACTCAATCCTATCGAGTCACCACTTCCTGCACCTGCCTCTGCACCTGCCTCCACACATGGTCTGTCTGTCTGTCTACACGAGCAGGTGCTCTCCCAAAAACAATGCGCACGGAGACGGAGCACAGCACAGGCACAGAAACCTCGACTGGTGGCCAAGCGACCAAGTGACCAAGTGACGGACTTACCTTGTCTTGGTCTCCCTGCATTGTCTACGTCCGTAGTCGAGACTGACCTTGGTTTTTGGATCTCCGCTCTTGCATCCTCTCACTTACGAGTTAAAGTGCCTCTTGCCTCGTGCATCTTAGAATTCTGCATGCACAGGCACAGGCACAGGCACATTGTACCTCGTTCGTCCTGCAGGTGTGCGTGCACCCGCGTACAATAACGGATGCCACGGACGGTACTTGTGGTACGTAACATCCGGTACGTACCGACAGTCCATGTACAATCAATGGTAGACGCCGCTTGCCGTCCGACACTTCCTAACCAGACCTGGGCAATTTGGCCATCGCAAGTGTCCCTTTCCGCAGCCATGTCATGCTTGCTGTTCAAAACATCCATTGTGCATTGTGCAATCCATCAATCTCGTGACCGGAAGCCGTGGTCGATTTTTCAACTCGACATGGCCGAAACGGGCGTCCTGCATTACGCTCCTCATGTACTGGCGCCCAAATGCCTGCTCGAGCAAGGAAAATCCATCACGGCACACCAGCATGCAATCAATCATCCTCTTCTGCCCCGACCTCGCCAACAAGAGTTAAGACAGAGAGCATGCAATCTAACACCCCTCGATGCCCGTGTCTCACTCCCCAAGCCTCGCGTGCAACTCGACCCGGCTCCACCTGAACCCCATCTCCCACTCGTCCACTCAGGCCAGTCGGGCCAGCCTGCCCAGCCAGTCGATCAATCAATCAATCAATCAATCAATCAATCAATCCACCATTGTCTCTCCCGCAATCGCCATTTGAACCCTGCGGCTTTGTGGCTGCACCAACACCATCACCAACACCACCACCCACCCCACCTCCTCCGTGTCATTGTACCACGAGAAGCTCTCTGGGGAAGAACCACCCCGAGCTTCACCCCAATCGGTACCACGTCGACGGGAACCTTGCAGCTAAGACCCGGTCGAACCATCCCAACGGTGTTGTCGGTGTTTGAACAATGACGCTCGAGGGTCCATGCAGGATCGTCACGTCGGCCTCCCGAGCTCTCTAGATACGCGAAACGGCACCGCGCATCGTGCGACGGAGAGAAGAGAAAAGGAAACCACACGCTGGCTCAGCAGCATGAGCTCAGGGTTTCCAAGCTCGGTGCGCCGGTGGCCGTGTCCTGTACACACACGCACCCTCGACCCGGTGTGCGACAGGTTCTCGCACCACCTGTCCGTAGTACAGCCACCCCCCCAGGTTACGCCCCCCAGCCACGTACAGGCATGTCACAGCCGGGTTCACAGCTGCAATTTCGTGCTCGTGCTGCTAGTGGGTGACCAATGTATCCTCGTACACGATCCCGTTGCTTCTTTTCACGGCTTCACCGTACAAACGTTGGAGTTACTTTTTTTCCTGGATCGCGTCCTCGCCCTCTTTGCCTCTGGTGTCTTGTCAAGGGGGTTCCAGACCTCAATCAGCCTCTCGCCACGAGCAGCCACGCCGAGGGAGATTGACACCGACCCAGCAGCATGATTTGGTCCCGTGAGATGGGGATAATTCCAGAGCTTTCCCTTTTTAGAGACCTGCTTCCTCTGACGGTTATAGATGGAACCACCTAGTCTCACTCGCAACCTTAGCGACTTACAAGTGTCCACAGCCGCGAGACAACCGCCACTGCCCCCCGCGGCTAGGCGGCGCCAGAATTGGAAACTTGCCCCGGCCCGATAGATCCTCGGCGCAGCACTAAAAGGCTCGCACAGGTAGGGAGGGTTTTTGTTTACTTGCACCAGAAGTAAAGTTGAGGTCTTGGTGAGACAGTAGACTGTGATATATCAGATTGGGAACGAGGTTTTTTTTTCTCTCTCTGGCAAAAATAAAAGAATAGCATGGAAAAAAGAATGGGGTGGAAGAAGAAGGTCGACAAATGGATCAGTGCGCTGAAACACATGAGCAACCTCTGATGCGTGAGATCCATCTTGGGATTTCCTGTCTCTGCTTACGGGTATCGCAGATATGTCGCAGATGTCTGGCAAGCGCCTCCGCGGGGTAACCCTCAGAACTCTATTCAAGCTGGCGTGTTGTTTTACTCTGCCTTTTCAGTTAGATGGGTCTGCCTGACTGAGTGTTGAATTCTTCGGTTGATGCCTGGGAAAATACTGACATAGCCAATATGTTAGAAACTGAGGTTCGCATCATCTCCTTTCCAAATGGGATTCAGATGACGAAGACATCCTGAGCCAACTTAAAGACGGCATAGGCGGACATGTCTTTGCTGACCATCTTGTTTTTGATTGCCCAGCTCACTCGGGATCCACTTCCAAGGTCCCGAGCAGAGATGGCCACCTCACAGCTGTGCATGATCACAACAACTGGAACTGCACCCGCGGCATGGAAGCGGTGAGGCAAGAATGAATACACCGACAGAGTCACACGAGACAGTGCCTTACTTCACCAACAACAACTGGAGCTCAGAGGTTTACTTTGTCGTCCTCTTTGCTTCTAATATGAGAATTTTGCATCACCAACTCCGGGAGTCTGGCCTGGGCACTTTTTTCTGGGCTCCCTGCCGCAGCTTGCTACCTTGCCTTGTGCTTTTATAGCCTGTGTCCTAGATTTTGAAGATCTTGGCGGAGATGAGAGATGAGGCTACTAGCGGCTTGGTCCTGTTGTCTTTTCTCTTTGATGGAGGCTCAAGTCATGGTGGCGGCATGCTATTGGGCTTGGCTTGGGGATGATGAACTTGGAAGGCCGAGAAGAATCGTCGTGGTCCAGTCATCCATGGTTGTTTTTATTCAGCCTCGCAGAACTGCGGTATCAGCCAGCGGAGGCTTTGAGGCAAGTCAAAGAAGCAGCAATAGAAGTTATCGAACCCCTCTGTGTAATGTTTTGAGCATGCCATCCTTTGTCCAGCCATTTTGGAATGTCATGAATGCGTCTTGCCCACTTTCGTCCCGGGAGGTTTGATGCAACCTGAACATCGAGATATCAGCTGTTCGCCTCTTTGAACACCAACAAGCAAGCCGCTTCGCCTAGGCGTGATGCTTTTGATCTTGCTGGGGCGTACTCAAGATGGGTGGGTGCTGCAACAGAGGGCCCGGGAAATCTGCATCCTTCTATCTTCATCTGCAAAAACCCCCTGAGTATCAACATCCGGGCCTTTGGCCAGTCAAATCAAACTTGCAAGGATAGTTAGGAGGACAGATATGTAGATCAACGGATGCGGTGCATGAAAGTAGAGCATTCTGCTGATCTGATTTGAGGGCAGTGATAACTACAATGTGAGTGACTTCGAACAAGGCTGCGTTGATTTCCAGACGTACCGGGAAGACGAAGGCACTGACCCTTTGAGCAGCTGTTGCAAGCCTCATCTCCAGGATGGCGTAAGAATGCCTACGCAGGTTGTCCTGCCATTTGCCAAGGTGGCCAGGCCGTGAGGTGACGGAAGCATATCAGCCATGGGTTCTACCGTCATTCACAATTACGGGGGCATGGTCTAATGGTATGACTCCTGACGCAAAAAGGCTTCTTGCAGTTAGAACTGTGTGCATAGTGTATGACGGTTTCTTGGATAGCATGATTGGACCTGGCAAGCCAGAGAGATCCGGGTTCAACCCCCGGTGCCCTTAATCTTTTTTTTTTCTCTTTTAGTTCCCGAGGTTGCGTTGGAGCGTCAACTTCTCTGAGAAGTCGTCTTGGCCCATTGAGGGACGTCTGGCTCCATGCCGGTGACTATTAGAAAGAGTGTCGAGTTGGTGGAATCTGATCACTTGATCTTTTGTAGTCTCAAGCAAGAGAACAATCGACTTTCAACATGCAGTGACGATGAGGTTCGAAATAGTGAAAGCCGCATAGAGTCTGTGAGAAGTTTCAACTTCTAGGACATGATCTGTTTCAATGGCCAACGCTTCCACTGTCCCAGTATCAATCTCCAATTTTATGTTCTCACCAATCATTCACCATTCCAGTGGTGTGTTGCCAGTGTGAAGGCTGTGCCGCACCAGCCAGCGTTAGTTAGCCTTTGTTGTTGGTGTGAGACGGGTTCTGGTTCCGCCGGCTGACATGGCTCATCATGTGTCACTTGCTCTACACCCTCTATCACTTTCAAAACCTATCTCCTGCAGGCTCGTGGAAGCATTTTCTGCTGTTGAATTACCTTACAGGCTGGAGCTTTGTCACACAAATCACCACTAGCAAGCTACACTCGCCGACAGTTGCCACACTTCTTTCACATTCCCGAGGGCAGCACATTAGGCAACGATCTTGTAGCGGACAACCAAGCACATCGCGGAACTGTCCCCGTCAAGCCACAGGCTATGTCTTCAGCCCTCGCAAATAAAACCTCAGCGGCACTGGCTGCGCTTCCACCCATAGCATCAAGGGCAGGCCACACGAGGCACATCCACGTGAGCCAGTTGTCCACTCACCATCGCTTCTCCTTACGGCCCAATGCCGCAACGCAGCTCCGCCACATCAGCGGATATCCTGGAAGCCGGCCCCAAGGTCCCGCCACCGCGTCAGAGAAGCCAGCTTCGGCGAAGAAGGAGGGTTGGCTATCCGTGCTCGATCGCATGGGAGCCAATCGGACTACCAAGATTGTCATTATTGTCTTTCTCTCCATTTATGGAACGATGGAGACAATATTTTACGCTAACGCTGCGTACCGCTACTTTTCGAAGGAGGAGAGTGAATGAGGATGTTGGTTCATTGTGTTGTGCCCGAAAATGAATTACATGGGAAATATATTAGTACAGTACATATGCCCATTACTCAACGGGGTTTGAGTGAAGTTGAGTCTTGGCAGTGATGAATGTATGGGAAGACTGGCAGAGAGCAAAGCACCACTCGAAAAGCTACGTCGTCATAGATATCTCCAACAATTGACGGGTCCTCTCTCGCTTCTGCCAGAGTATGCTCCCATTTCAAGTGCGAGAGAGGGCGGAACCCTGCCCGCAGCAGACAACTAAAGTGGTCCTTCTAGGGCCTGGCTGGTATTTGGCTGAGGGCAAGAAGTCTCCCTTGGCCTTGATATAGGTTTGCTTTTGCCAGGACTACCAGCAAATGCTCACCCTGACTACCACCAAAAGGGGTCAGATAACGTGCCAGACGCAACGTTGTAATGTTGCAGCTGACCGATGTTCTCAAATTGTGGAATTATCGCACAATGAAAGGCTTCAATTAAATATATGTCGAGTGACTATAACAACTGGTCTCTATCTGAATTGCTTTTCTCAGCTATGTACCCGTGCTGCTACAATGGCCCTTCTCACAAAAATCAAGCAATTCCTCAGAGAGCCCTATTCTCAGCTTTCGATTCGAAGGTCTTCGTTACCATTATTCCTCGCGGCTCAGAGTCCTTCCATCCTTCCACGTCCGCGTTCGGATTCCTCCACACCAACTCTGCCATTTGTATGTCTTCATCTGCATCAGAGTCGTGCTCCACTGGTCTCGCAAAGACTTGTGTGTCGTTTGCGGTGCTCGCTAAAGCCCTCAAAGGCGCGACGGAAGGCCCTTCGACAGAATGGTTGGGCGGGAACGTCCTGCTCGAGTGCCTGGTCGAATCAAACGCACTGCTTCTTTTGCCGGATGATCCGTGGCGTCCTCGGCTGCTCGCTGACTCCGTGTTATGAACTCGGCCGCGGAGAGCGAGAGTCATAATTGGCTTGAGAGAAGGGAGGCATGCTGGTATCAACGTTAATGATATGCATGAAAGGGATGGTAGGGGGAGGGGGAGGTGACTGCCGTACCACAGACTACGGCAATGTTGACCTCAACAAGAGTCCATTTTGTCGCCTGGCTGGCTGGCCAGAGGAAGTCTGGATTCCGGAAGTCGATAATGATGGTGAAGTAAATGCGAAAGATAGACACTCCTGTGACACTGTCGAAAACGAATCTATTAGTAGATGCATCATACCTAGCTAGGGTCTTGGAGGCGCTTACAACAGGCCGAGAGCAAAAATGCCAAGGAGAGCGACCTTCTGCGATTTGAGAAGAGTAAGGTTCCAAATGAATGGTAGTGGCAACGCCAGTAATAATATATCCGTAACAGTGTTGAAAAAAGAGTTTACAAGAACGAATTTCAAGAGATCGACACCGCATTCATATTCTGATGGATCAGGAGCATTGATGGGATCAAATCTGGTCCAGAACGCACTGGTTGGATGGCACTGGAGTACGTCCACCAGAATCTGTCAAAATTGTCAATCTGTGGCTGGAATTGTAAATGAAAACTCGATTATGGTTCTGTTCACGTACGACTATGATCGTCCATGCGGAGACAAGCAAGAACAAGATGATTAATGGCCACCTGATTCTGGTATCCACGCGGAAGATGCGCCAGTAGAACGCCAGTATTGCCGATTTCGTGGTGAACGAGCTGAATGCAAAGGTAAATGTAGCTATGAAGATCGCCAAAGAGTACGATCTCATCACGCCAACAGGGGCCGCCCATATATGCAAGCCGAGGCCTCTAGGAACCACTGGTGACGAGATATCGTTAGCTGGTCAAGTCAAGGCTGATCATCTTCTGTGGATTGCTGAATTAAAAGAAGTGGGACCTACTGTAACACGTAGTGAGGAAGACAGCCGAAGTGCTCCATATCTTCCAGATGTCTCTTGTCAGTGCGTGTTCGTGAGGTGCAGTGAGGAGGGCTTGGGACCATTACCAGCGATGTGAGAATGATCCAGTCATCCCACCAGAAGCCGCTCCTAGTAAGTTTTCGAGAAAGAAACCGCAGCCCTACACATACGAGTCCCATGACCCAGGTAAGACATGTGGCTACGACCAAGGCAGGGGCTCTTGTCTCAGTCAGATCCAACCCCGGCGGGGGGCCTGGGAAAAAATCCATGAAATTCGGCCGGAACTAGGTTTTAGTCAAGAAACAGGGCTAATATGTCCCCGAACACTGGAATGCGGCAACACTCCCTCGATCACCCATTCGAGAGCGACCCGGAAAGTCTTTACTAGGGCGATGATAAATGGTGGTAAAGGAACACGTACGCAGAAGTGTAAGAAGAAGCACTGCATTTCAAAGCGTTGAATCTTTAAGTGTGCGATTTTGATCTACATTACGCTAGGCATTGTAGACAAAGAAGAAAGCGTAGACCTTCCTCTAGAGTATAACCTAATCGCCAGCAATAGCCGAACGTTGCCGGGTTAGTATGATCCTGGACGTTTCTTTCCATAGTGAGAGACATGAGCTTAGCGGACTATACCTTGTCTGATCATCTGTTCTAGAACAGAGACAAGTTCGCAAGACACCAAGGGATCATCATGAGCCTGAGCAGACTGCGGGGAAGATCACAAACCAAACCGGTCTTTTGACCTTATACCTAGGAGGGATAGTCTAGTCTATATATAAAGTTCTTATTCTTCTGCTCGGGGAATGTCCGTTAGCTATATTTAGTATTCCTGCAGCGTGTGGTTGGCTAGCTAGCTGTTATCTCATCGGGTGTAGCCAGTAGGGCATCACCTGTTATTGCCGCGTCCGCGTTTTGTTGCAGCGCATTTTATAGCGTTGCTTACTGCTTTTCAGATTGAAGCTGCTGTACTAAGTTTTGGAGCGGGTGCAAGTTACTGAATATAATACGGATGATTTTAGAATAACCAGGAAAAGCCCTTTCGATAGACCTTGCTAAGTGTCCGTCTAGTCACTGCCGCGGCCTCTTTTTCCTTCAATGCGGCCTCGACCGCTGCCTTCTCCTCTGCAACCGTTTCTTCCGGAACGCCCGTGACCAAGTCCACCGCCTCAGCCCGCACACGTTGCGATTTCTTCACAATCTTATACCCTAATATTAAACCAAGGTAGATGGGTATGCCGATGTACTGGACAATGAACCCCTTTGTAGTCAAAAGTGCCAATAAAAACCTCGATGCCTTTGGTGAGTATCAGGATGACCAGGAACGCGAGGGCGATGAAGGAGCCACAGGCGCCAAGTGGAGCGCGGTAGGGAATGTACGCCAAATCAATGTGCTGGATCTTGCGGGCGCGGCAGAAACAGATGTGACAGACGAGGATGGAAATCCAAGTCAGGAGGCCTAGAACTTTTAGCAATGTTCTTCTGGAACAAGACGTGACTCGAAAACTCACCAAAGACAGTGACAAGGCTGGTGAGGTTGTTGAACACTGTTGCAGCACTCGAGCTGACGGACATATACGCCAATCCGCAGAACAACATACAGAGACCCAGTGAGACGAACGGCACGCCGGCTTTGGTTGTACGTGTAAATACCCGGGGTGCATTGCCATCAATGGCAATTCCGTACAGAGTACGAGATGAAATATAGATATCCGAGTTCGCAGCTGAAAACACGAAGACGGCAAGGCATGCATTGATGACATGATCAAGCCCTTTTATCTTCGCGATCTTGATGGCCACGACGAACGGGGAGGCAGCAGCACTTGTCTTGGCCCCGGCAGCGAATGCGAGCTCCTGGCTGTTGTATGGGACGACCAGCCCCAGGAGAAAGACAGATATGACGTAGAAGAAGACGATGCGGAGGAAGGTGAGGCGGATGGCTTTTGGCATGCACAGACGTGGGTTCTTGGCCTCGCCGACAGTGACGCCTACAAGTTCTGTCCCGGAGAAGGCATATACTGCGGCAACCATCGCACTCCACAGACCGAGC